CTAGTGACAGCGACGCTGCTGCTGTGCCTGGCTTTCATCACTGAGTGGTCCGGAGACCCCTCGTGTCAGGGCCTGTGGCTCTCACTATTCCTGGCTCCCTCCAGCCTTTCCAGGGTGCTCGGAGAGTGCAGTCCTTTCTTTGCTCAGTGCACCCCAGCTTGCTTTTGGGAAGCACCTCAGAGCCTGCTGTCAGCTGAACCAGCGGTACAGCGCCAGCCACAGGCTAATCTCCATAACTTTAAATTTGCATTAAAAATTTTTGTTTGTTTTTGTTTTTTATTGAAACAGTGTCTTCCCCTGTGGTGCAGGCTGACCTTAAACTCACTTAGGTAGCCCAGGCTTGGCCTCAAACTCACAGAAATCCTCCTGTCTTGGTCTCCTGAATACTAGGAACATAAGCCTATGTCACCAAGTGCAGTTTTAAAAATAAACTTTGAAGTAGTTAATTTACTTCTTTTTATTATAATAGAGTCTGATATGAAAACAGTATCGGGATGAATGCATTTTTAGCCATTCGATAATATTTCGTGATTGATGGAATGGGGGGGGCTGAAAAGATAAGAAGTATGAAATATAAATGACCTTTATTTTAAGAATGTGGGGAGAGACCCCCCAACTCCCTGGGGTGTGGCATCTCCCTGGGGTCAGCAATCTCTCCTTGGGACCCAGGAGTGAAGGCACACAGGTAGCTTAGATTTGGGGTGGAGCCTGAGAGGCATTAGGGATGCACAGGCAGCCAGTTGGTATTCATTTGGTGCCAGAGGTAAATTCCTAGGGGTGGGGGAGATGGAGCTCCTTGGTTTTGCCTCGAAGGCTTTACCGGCTACAGTGTCCTGTGTGGGCCAAAATTCTTTCAGTGATAACTTCCCATCTGACATGGTTTTCTTTCCATGTGACTGGACAAACCTGCAGGGAAAGGACTCATCTGTGGTCAGCTCATTCTCCCCACTCCTGCTAGCTTCCTGCTATTACTGAAGTCACTTTCTGCGTTGTAAGCTCTTGTTTCAGAGCTTGACATTTTTTTCTTTAGATAAGCTACATTGGCTAATATCTTCCTTTCTATGTTCTATAAAAAACATCACAACAAACACAACAACCAACACCCACAGCCCACAACATGACAGAAGGACATCAGCACCACTTCCTATCTAAGACCCAAATCTAGCCCTGGAGGCTTAGAGGTGACTTGTCCTTGGCAGGTGGGACAGGTCAGAAGATGAGGGTCACCTGGGGCCTGACCTGGAAGGCTCATCTTTGTCCCCCGCCTCCTGTGCCCTCGGGCTCCGGGACACCATGGCACCAGCAGCTTTCCTTGGCTCGGCCCTTCTGCCGTGCTGTTCCCCCGACCCCCTGAGCCTGCTGACCATGGATTGATCGGTGAGTCAAAGTAAACTTCCTCTTCCGCCAGCCACGGGTGTTGGCTACGGTGTCTCAGGGGTGACGCAGTGATTAAGATGGGTCGTGAACAGCTGTCCTCTGCTCGTGGAGCTTCCACTCTGCCCCTTAGCAAGCGTGTGTAGGGACAGGCAGGGATGACATCCAGGTGGCTGGCAGCCACAGAAACGACCACATGCCTACTTTGCACTATGAACCTGGGGAAGCTGCCATTTGGGAATTTAAGCATGCGTTTCCTGGGTGCCCCTGGGCCCCCTGATATTCTGCTCACCCCAGAAACAAAGGCTAAGACCTTGATTGACCTACATTACAGCAATCAGGGAAATAGTTCTTTTTTAGAGACCCTCCCATCCCTCCCTGTAAGTGTGAGCACACTTCCAAAAGACACGAGAGAAACACAGGGAGCTCTCTCTGCACTGTGGCATGTTCTGCTGCCTGGCAGATTCTCCCCACATTCACAAAATTATAAATAAATCTTTGCTTCGCTCTACTCTCACTTCTGCCTTCCCCATTTTCTGCTGGAGGCTTGGCTCTAAGCCAGTCTTCCCCACTTCCCCTTTCTGTGCTGGAGTGAGGTGAGAAACAGAGACACCTGAGGGAGGCAGAGGTTCACTGGGGGCAACCAGCCCCTCAAGAGCACTCATCTGAGGCAACTCATGGGACTGAAACTTCCGGAACCTGAGCTAAAAATGATCCTTCTTTAAGGTTTAGGAGTTGCGTATTTTTTTTTTTTGTTGTTGTTGTTGTTTTCGTTTTTATCGGTACCAGGGATCGAACTCACGACTGCCTGCTTTCAAGGCAGGCACTTATGCCGCTGAGCTAAATCCCCAGCCCCAGGAGTTGGGTATTTTGTCCCAGGAACCAGGAAAGTGACTGAGACAGATTTTGGTGTTAGACAAGTAGACTCCCTTTGTGACTCGGTGATCATGAGATGCAAAAGCCTTTGGGACTGGTTTGCAGGAACGGTTGGGAAAGGCCTGGAGATCCCTGCTTCAGAAGCCACAGAGTGCTGGAAGCTGGGCTATATGAGAGATTCTGGTCAGAGCTCAGGGAAGCTCTGAATGCAGCGTACAATGCAGATGGCAAAGACCGGGCTCAGGAATTCTCCACTGGGAATAAGGGCTCTATTGGCAGCTGGACTTACGTTAATAATGTATGTTAAGCCCTGGCAGAAACATTTTCTAGGTCTTACTTAAATCCTGAGATTTGCAAGAGTCTGAGATTAAGAGAACTTCCACGGTACCCAACTATTGACGTTGTGGCACGAGTACTGCTGTGGGTGATCTCCCCAGCTCTGCACTGAGAATCAAGAACATGAGGCCTAAGTAAGTGATATAAAAAATTTTCAGTTTTCCCAGAAAGGAAAATCCTGTGAAGCATTGAGGAAGCAGAGCTTGGCTGCTGAAAAGATCAGCATCAAAAAGAAGTCAAGTACTTTACAACAGGACAATAAAAATGGTGCCTTGAGGGCAAGCAAGGAACCAGCAAGACCCCACCTTATGAAGGCATTGGGGCAGAAAAGTGAGGTCTCCTCTGAGCAGAGAACACCAGGGCACCATGCTCAAGAAAAGGTATTTAGGAACTTGGCTTCCCAGGCGCTCAGTTCTCAGTGCTCACATCTCGGGATTCAGAGGCTGCTGCAGCGTAATTCACTAGGCTTAGTGAGGTGTGGCCGGAGCTGGTGAGACCACTCCTATTCCACTTCAGAAGGCCTGGGAGGCCAGGCAGGGTGTCCCTGAGAGGGCGGTGAGTGAAGCTGAGAGTGAAGCTAACAGTGGAAACCCAGGCGGCTGGAGAAAGTAGGGAAACGGAACTGAGGAACACTGCGAAGGGTGAGCAAAGCCAGCCCAGGAGAGAAGCCAAGAGAGCCGCAGCCACTGGCAACCACAGGTAGGGAAAGGTTCCGCACGCCACTGGAGCCCTGTGAAAATCACAAGGAAAGTTACATACTGATGACCTATAACGGCACAGAGAAAATGTTCCCATTCCAACATAGAGAAACAGGGGGGTTTGAAAGGGACTCACAAGAATTTGCTTTTAGTCTCTGAAGAGCCTCAGAACTTGGCAGATTCAGGGACGCAGGAGCTGTGAATACTTTGGCTCTCCGAGGATGAAATGCATTTCACACAAGGACATAGTGTACGAGTCTCAGTGTTATCAGCAACTGAGTGAGATGGAAATGTTATAGGCAGTTAGACAGGGTGGGCCCTTAAAGGAGCCAGTGCAGGAGACCAGAAACTTTGCAACTGTGAGGGAGACAGACACCTCTGCTGTGGGCCAGAGCTCAAGACAGAAGGCAAAACAAATGCACCCTCACCGTAAGTATAAACATCAGGGGCAGATATTCTAAACAGGTATGGGTCACCTTGAGGAAGCCAGAAGGAGCCCTTAATCCAACCTCTACCAGCAAAGACCCCATTCTGTATCCCTGCTGCTTGCAACGCCTGCCCACGTTACCCCAATTTAAACAGTTTTATCTGAGCAGTTATACTCGTAATCTTATTAGCCGGGCATAGCTCTGTCCCACCTCACGCCTGCCTGCCATGTGGGACCCCCCCCCTCACCTCATGGTTTTGCTCTATAGAAATCCCTGGAAAAGGTGGGGTCCTCGGCAACCCACTTGGAACCCCTTCTGTCTCTCGGACTAAAGCTTTCTTTCTCTCAATAAATACATGCTGCTCTGCACCTCTGTTACTAAAATTCACTCTTTAATTTTAGAGAACACGAACTTGTACTGACATCTAGCAGATAGGGAGTTTCTTTCCCCTGTACCATTAGGGACCAGGGGTGACTGTTACAGTTCACATGGAAATTTCCCCGGAGCCGGGCGTGCCCAGCACTGAGCGTTTCCCGTGGTGCGGATTATTGCGTGGCTGTAGCTCACTGGTCACGAGCAGGTAGGATCTGGCAGGAAGAGTAAGACACTGAGGAGTCGCCACAAAGTGTGACCAGGTCCTCCGTGTCTCTTGCTTTCTGGCATTGTGAATTGAACCACTTTTTCTCTGCTCTTTGCTCTTTACCGTGTCATCTACTCTGGAGCTGCTCAGCAATGGATTGGAATTTTAAGCCAAAATAAACCTCTCCTCCTTACACTGAAGGTGTTGAGTAGTTTGTTCCAGCGAGGAAGAAATTACAAGGCATCATCTTTATAATTTAACCCTAAAGAAGAGCTCCATCATGCAGAACTCATATATCCTGAGATCTAACCCGTTTCCTGGAGACTTTTCTTCAGAGTTTGGGGAAGTCCATCCAAGATACTCCACTGACTGCACTTGAAATATCTTAGTTTGCATCCAAGCAAGAACAATTTCAACTAATAGTACTGGACAGTTTCCAAACATATGAAATATATATATATTACTCTATTGTTGGTGGTGAGAAGCTTATAAAATATCTGAAAGACTGAATGAGCTCCAAGTAGAAATATGTGCAATTCCAGAGATTTGTCAATAGGTGGCACCATTTATACACACTAATGCCCATTCTGCAGTTTATTACTTAACACAAATTACCATTTCTCAAAAGGGTTAACAGGAAAAGAATTGTTTGCTTTTTTAAAAATTAAGCTTGTATGCTTTTAGTGATGATTTCTTCCTGAGAAATTTTGCTTAGTGTTTTATTTTGTCATTTTAATTGGCTAATATTTGTTTCCGACCACCAAGCAAGAAACTTCAAGGAAAATAAAAATACCTTGTCCACAAAAAATCCCATTCACCTGCATTCTGATTCCAAGTTTTACCCAGAGAGAAATAGAGAGAGAGAGAGGCTGTGCCACGAAGTCCTGTTAGTGTCCACCAGACTGGTCAGGTACATGGCAGGACTAGCCCTCTTCTCCAGAAAGTGGTTTTTAAAGGATACTTTTTTTTTTTTTAATTCTACGACAGTCTGCCATCCACCCATAAATGCCATAGCTGGCTCTCTCACCGTTTTTGGTTTTCAGATTATGCACTAGTTGAGGCAAAGCATAGCAACACAAATATTTAAATGGCTCCCACATTTTACAACCTTAACTGCTGTGTTTCATATAAAGGCCACACGGTGAGCACTGTCACTGATGTGCCTGGGTGTCCCTGAGGGCTCCTGCTTGGGGAAATCAGGAATGGAGCAGTGTGAGAAGCCAACGTCACACGCCGAGAAAGGTAGGCAAAAACAAGGAGGATCCTCCCAGGGATTAAAATTTCCGTTCTTCTTTCCACATTGGAAACAAGCAAAGGAAAATGGAGATTTAAAACAAAATTACTCATTTGGAAAACTTGATTTTCAATGTTATTTGATAATATAAGTGATATGTTTTTAAAAGACCCATAATGCAAATGTAGTTATGTAGGGAAAGAGGAACTTGTATGAGCAACTCGAAAATAGTTTACAAATATTACTATGTGGTGAAATATGCTTGATGGCTTTGTTTTACTCATTTTGGTCTCTACCATGTGACTGCAGGTTTTATTTTTAAAATGTAACAAAACTTGCTCGATGTCCCCCAAATTTTCCTGTGATCATCAACACCCGTGCCAGGGCCTCTACCATCAGTAAGTCATACACAGCACTTCAGGCAGGAAAAGCATCAGTGTCAGCTCTGTGGAGAGGCGACACACTCTCTAAACCAGTCCTCAGCGTTCTGCTGCCATTGGCCCTTCCCTTCTCCTCCCTACACTAACAGCAATGTCCAGCACATCTCTAAGAGTGCTGCAGTGAGATGAGCACGGACATCAAGGAGAAGATTTTAATGAGATGAGCTGATTTTTGAAGGCAAACTTGAAACTTTCATGCTTCAGGGTGATGTTTGCACCCAAGCATACTTCCTAGGCCAGTCCCTGGTTATTATTCTTTTTGCTGGTAGTGTTGATAGTTTTCATAGGAGGTACACAACCTGTCTAGAAACTGACTATCTTTTCACAAGAATGTTATTCATATATGTCTGACTGTAATGTCTGAATGATACACAAAACATCATAATTGGATTTATTTTGCTAATAAATAATACCGTAACTGTTCGTGTTTCTCATTTCACCCTGCAACTTTTCCAGATTTCTCATATATGCTACCTAATTTGATACTCAAAGAAAACTGATTTATGAGTGTCATTCTTACATCTTTAGTCCAGCTTCAAACTGATGATATTAATACAAACTTTTGTGTTTAGTGTAAAATCTCTTTAAAACGATTACAACATAATTCATAAGTGCACAAAAGCTGTAAATAAACTTGACACAGTTAGAAAATGTTTAATATCTGTTACACATCATTATACTTTCCACAGTATAATGACTAAAATCTTAGCTAATTAATTAGAGTTTAACAATGTATTAATGATTTAATAACTGCTAAGTCCAGTTTGGAAGATCTGGGGAATAATTAATGCTGGATAATTGACCAAAAAATAATACTCTTGGGCCAAAGAATATAAGTTTATCATGAGTGTTTAGTTGGCCATTCAAAAGTTCTTTTTTACATGAGAATTTTAAAGTTTGCAATATCTCCGAAATTTCAACCATGGACTACATCACCACTAAGTTAATAAGACAATAAAAGTAGCTGACACCATTGAATCCTGACCACGGTCTAGGCAATGTGCTTAGCCCTTGCTGGCTATGATTTTATTTAATATTGCAAAATCATGAAGAAGATACCATGATGCCGTCTGACAAAGCAGGTCTGAGTTCAGGACACTTGGCCAAGGTCACACAGACGTCCTCTACTCCAAAGGCCATTTCATCCTCTGATTCCTTCAGTCTTTCCTCCATGGCAGGATTTGCAATGTCTTCTAATGAGAAATGAAAGCAAATTAAAATAAAAGAAAGTTCTGAATGTGCTGTAAATATATTTTAGTTAAACTATCATGAGTCCCTTTCAATTGATATTAATAAAGACTGATTGATTATTGGTACTACTGAACATACGAATCCACTTTTTTAAAAGGTATAAAATAGATTAATATTGCAACTTTAACATTAAACAATCTGACTACACCACCTGCAAAGAAATAAAAGAGTTATTTACTAAGGTCTATTAAGTATGGAAGCTATGTTCACCATAAAGAAGAACACCCAAGGACAAAGATAAACTGGAGAACTGGTTGTTTTTAACTTTCAGAAGAAAAAACCTGTTCCATTTGTGGCATCAATCACTCCTTTGTGATTTGGGGGAGAGAAAGAGTGTTGTAAAAATCAGCAATTTTTTTTGTTCAGAATTTGAATTGTTGTAAGCAATCTACTCAAGGAGAGTTGGAGATGGAAAAAGCAATATATTAATATAGAGTCCCTACACTTTTGCTTTATCAATAGATACTTTCAGAAGTGTGTTGGCATTTTTCAATAGATCTATATAACCAACATCTATAATTCCCAATTCCTGAACAAACCTTCCAATGCAAAATGAATGTTGAGTCTTAATGAGTTACACATCCAAAAGTAGCCTGTTTAACCATATATGAGTTGTGATCTTTACAAGTAGCCTAAGGTCTTAACTCATGAAATATTTTTATGTTTTGGTCAAATCCTAAGGAGTCTTAGAAAAGATAAAGCTTTACCTTCTGAGAAAGCCTTTACCATCTCCCACTGACCAAAGGAAGTTTGGCCATGACTTCGCCACCTCCACTTCCTTCCATGGCGTTCACAATATTGTCCGGAACCAGAGCAAAATCCGAAAGGTAATCTGGTTAGCGGTGGTGCTGGGCTCAGTCTCACTCCTAGTTTGGCAGATCTACAGTCGTTTGGTCAACTACTTCACATGGCCCATCACCACAGTTGTAGAGGTGCAGTACGTGGAAAAGATCGAGTTTCCTGCTGTGACATTCTGCAATTTGAACAGGTAAGATTTACTCTTTTAATAAGAATTAGTCTTTATTACTCTGCTAGTATAACATTAGTTCGAGTACTGGCAGAGTTTTCTTAAGCAGTGCTTCACACAGCTAAATTCTTTGAGCTTCTTAAGTTGTACATAAATCCACAAACTTAGGGAAGTAAAAGAGCTTATTAATTTTCTCATGTGCTTACTACTTCGTTCCTTTCATAATTATATACTAAGTAAATACCAAACTGGATGATTAAGTGAATAAACAAGTATTGATGCCAGCACTTTAAAAATGTATTAATTACAAAAAAGAGAAACAATCACAATGCAGTATGATAATTGAACAATACAATAAAGATGTATTCAAGGGCTTCAGAAACACAGAGAACAGAATAACAATATGCATCAATGACTTTTCTGGAAAAAATAACTGGATGTCTGTAATGTAAAGGAGGAAAGCTTTATTTTAGCTTAAGGCTTCAGAGGGTTTAGTCTATGGTTGGCTGTCTGCAAGGAAAGAGCATCGTGGAGGAAGGGCACGGCATGACTTTGTGCTAACAGAAAAGCAGAGCACAGGGAAAGCGCACTAGAGAAAAAGGGGTCAGGGGCCACATACAGTCCCCAAGGTCTTACCTCCGTGTCCCCACATGCCCTCACCCGCACGTGTAATTTCTTGGCAACCAAAATAAACTGTCACAGAGTCTTCATGTGAGACCAAAGCCTGGGTACTGGAGATGACTCAAAGTCCCTAGGTGGACATGAAGATCTGGAAGAGGGAAGCACCACACAACCCAGGAAGATATGAAATTCTTGGTGCACATTAGGTGGGATAAGTAATGTGCTGGAAGGCCAGCTCCTAGGTGGCTTCACGCGGCACCGTGCTTAGAAAAGCATTACTTATTTCCTCGTTGCCATTCTGAGTTTTGACTGCATCTCACTGAACAAAGATGCAATTCTCTGTGCAGCAACTCTGCGCTGAAGAGAGCAGCTTCCTCCACATGTAGCACTGTAGCTTCCTACCATGAAACCGGAAACATACTGGGAAGACTGCTCCTGCAAGGAGGGTCTCTGTGAGACCCACCACTCATCAGGATTCGACTGATGACAAGGAAATTTTTCTTAGCTTCAACTTCTATATTTTTAAAATAAGCTACATTATCTATTTTACATATTTGCTCTTATGTCAGCCAACACAATAGGTGCACCACTGTGCTTTATTTCTTTGGTAATTATAGAACCATTGTTTTAAAAGTTATACATATTACATCATGTTTGTGTGACTATTATTTCAAGAACTCAAGTTATGTATCAAGGTGTCAAATAGTAAAGATAACACTCTGCCGCCATGCGAAAGACTTAATAATATTGCCTCTGACTAATATATAGTCTGACTAATAATGTAATAATAATATATGCCTCTGGCATATATTCAGAGGCACAGATTGGTTGAGATACCCTTCAGTAAAAGAAAGTGTGGACAGTCCTTTCAGGATATTGTGAAGCTTTCCATTGACTCTTTTGCAATGAAAACAACCATAAGTAGTGAAAATTATTTTTAAAAGCAGCCATTTAAAGTATTTGGAAATTGTCCTAAGGGAATATGGTGACTGAAGAAGTATTTATTCGGGAATATTCACCAAATCTCAGTAACAACAGTGAAAGTCTATATAACTCAAACTATAAGCCTCTTTCACTCTCCCCTTTACTGCCTCTGTCTGACAAGAACTACAGTCCTGATGGATTTGGCCAAGAAAGAAAAGGTTCTGTGTCTCTCTGCCACCAGCCAAGGCCCACAATGTGCCACGGGGATGCAGACTCCAGCGTGGCTCTCAATCCAAATCCACCACAGCAGAGGCTAAATTCCAGGGGAGTGCAGCTGAGGGGCTGGGCTGCCTTCCTCCAAGTCACTCATACTTGTGTGGTGAAAGCTGTGCCCAGGGACGACAGATGGAGAACACCTGACCTGGGTGTGGGGCAGAGGTTCCACGCTGAAAGGGCCAACCAGAATCAGTAGTCACTACACCAAGCAGAGCTCCACTTGTGAAGCTTTTGTTCAGAATGAGGAGCTGGCTGTAAAAACAGAGAAGTTCAAAACTCTTAATAAGGGAAACGATTGGCTTATAATAGAACAGAATATCGTTCAAACTTGACAATCTAAAGATATATATATGCAACAAGCTCATTCATAGTTTACTGTGAAAATCTAAGGAAGAAATAAGGAAGAAGAAATCTTTTAAAGCCAGAACAACTCTCAAAGACTGACCACAAAATTTTTTCCTGCAAATTTAGTTAGACAAGACTATAGAGCAATTTATAACACAGGACATCATTGAAAACAATAGACTCAGGTTGCTCAAAGCCAGCCTAGCCTGGGTGTGATACCTGCAGAGGCAGAAGGGAATTAGGAAGACAGGAATACAGGTCGGCCTGCTGGAGTGGCAGGCATCAAAAGATGGTTCTATGTGTAAGGTTGTGCACTTTGTGGGTGACATCAGAGGCAAAGCACATTCATAGTGGAGGAAGATTAGAGAAATGGACAGAATATTGGCTCCCTAAAATTTTCGGTGCCTATATCTTGGATTTAACATGTTTGAGAATTGAGTAATTCAGATGTGACTAGTGAAGTCAGCATGAGATTATTTTGCAGGATGTTGACCTCTCAGTCCAAAAACTGATGCCCTTAGAAGGTGAAGAGGAGACACACAGAGATAAAAAGGCAGAAGGCTGTGTGCAGCGGGAGTGGAGGGTGCTTATCCTGGCACCAAAATATGTAAAACTTAAAGAATAAGCTTCCCAAACCACTGAGAGGTCGGAGGGACCTGGCGACACCTTGATCTCAGACTTCTGACCTATTGCAATGTGAGAGATTAAATACGCATCGTTCTAAGACAAATTTGTGGAAATTTTATTGCAACTATAACTACAAATGATATCTATATTTGCTACCGTGTGTTATCTAAAATGTCACGTTTTTAAACAGAAAAATTAACAGACATAAAAAAAGCAATGGGAATTTTCCTACATACATAGAGGGCAAAAGCAGGCAATAGAAACAACTTGGCAATGGTGTCAGACTTAACACACAAAGATAGCAAAGCAGTTCAATAATGCTTAAAGAAGCAAAGGAAGCTATAATGTCCATGCTTCATCAAATAAAGAGTAAGAAGGGCAAAAAAATGTACAGAACCAAATAGAAATTCTGAGTGAAAGAAATGGGAAATTCTCTAGAGGTGCAAAACTATACATTTGAACTGGTTGGAGAAAGAATTGGTAAACCTGAAGACATGTTACAGTGCATAAGACTGGAAAACAGAAAAATGAGTGAAGAAAAAGGAACAGAACCTGGAACAAATGTGACCCAGCATTCAGCATAACAACATGAGAAAAAGAGAGTGACAGGAAGAGAGAAAGCCACAAAGTACAAAAAGACACACATAGAAGTAATGGCCAATGACACTTCCAATTTGGAGAAAAGCGTTAATCTGCATCCAAAAGGCTCATCAAACTTCTAAGAAGATAAATATAAAGATATTTGCAACTGGAAACATCCAATTGGGAAAGGTGAAAGGTAAAAAGGAAATCTTGAAAGCAGCACTAATTGGTCACATATAAGGAAGTCCAACAGGAATACTGGGTATTTCTGTTTATAAACACTTCCATGGACTTGAGGTCAGAAAACGGAAATCGCATTGCTACGGGTAGGGCTTCCTGCCCTTCTTTCTGCTGAACTGTCTCAGCAGCAATTAATACCAAATATTAAAGCTTTCCCAAGGAAGTGAGCCTTGCTAGGAAGAGTTTCTGCGGTAGGTACCGGGGCCTTATGGTCTGCGTGAGTCAGAGAGGATCCTTTTCTACTGCCCGCCACTATGTGACAAAATCATTTTCAGTAATATTCCTGAGTTTGAGCAAGTGACAATAATGCCTTGTATACTTTTGTGTCAATATTAGTGTTAAAAATGAAAATAAATTTTATAGTACAAAAATAAAAAGGTAATAGATTAGTACTTTTGAATGCTAATTTTTTTTAAGAAAAGGATACATTTTGGGAGTGGGGATTTAGCTCAGCTGCATAAGTGCCTACCTGGCAAGCTTGAGGTCATGAGTTTGATATAGCACAAAAAAAAAGCCAGACATATTTTAAATATGCTTCAGGAATTAATAATAGCATTGTTTTTCCACTTTTGACTCCTTCAGTAAGCTTGCCAATTATCTTGTCAACATTTACCCTCATGTAACATAAAAATGTTCAAAAATTAGCCCAGCCAATTTTTTCAATTTAACTTCACTCAGAGTTTATTAAATTTATTTTATTTTATTTTTGAAAAACGTCTTTTACATAAAGCAGTGGCTATACAAATAGGATTTAAACTCATAAGAATACCTTTTGCAATGATTTGTGAAATTTAACTTCACAATAAATTCCATAATTTGCAATGTTTTGGGTCCTTTTAAAAATTTGGAGTAAATTCTAGTAGCTTCCAAATATTGATTTAAAATTTCCACTAAAATAGCTTCAGCAAATAATTCATGATAAATTTCCATTATATTTTGCTAAAACTTCTGAAATTCTTGTACTAAAACCAGAGATAAAGGACACAATGCTAAGCACTGATGTTAATTAATCCATTAATTTTAATCAAGTAGCCCAAGCTCTCTCTTCATCTTTATAATCACTGTACTTTTTATTCCACATTTCTGTAAATGCAGTACACACAAGTGTGCGTGTGTTTTTTTGTGTGTGAAAGGATTCTTACTGGAAGGTTAAACTCACAACTCACACAATATAAACTAAATGTACGAAAATTTTCGCCACTTAGAGACTTGGAAAGATTTTGAAATTGGCTTACAAGAGAATCTTCAGATGATTTCCCCCATTCCCTTATCTATAAAAATTACCTATAAAATATGTATTTCTTGTTAATTCACATAGATCTACATATTGTGGTGGATTGAAAGGACTCAAAAAAAGTGAGTCAGGCATCAATTTGGGAATCAGACAAAACATAGCATTTGGGCATATAATTTAGAAAAGTACATTTGGAACAGTAAATATACATGAGAGAACAGGTTTAGTAAACCTAACATTTAAAAGGATAGTTGTTAAATGGTCTAAACAAATCAATTTATTTTTATTATTATTTTCTCTTACTAGGCTCTTATTATTTATTAAAGAGTACATGGTTTTAATTATTCTTTAATATATACTATTAAGATCTTGAAGGGTAATGGGTTTAGAAGTTTGAAACAAAGTTGAAAATACACAGTACAAAACAATCTGGTTTTATACCAAATACGTCTCTCAAAATTTGCATTTCCTTGTTTCTGGTTTTATTTGACCTCATTTGTTAAATTTAATTCGTCTATTGAAATTACCTTCATGCACTCCACCATGATTAGCATAATAAAAATGTTTTGAAAGAATATTTTAAAATGCCATCTTTTCATCGTTTTCATCTATTTTATTAATATCCACCTCCTACAGTTGTGACAGTTCTTTCGTTTTTCTGCATAATCACTTTGGAAAGAATTCAGTGAACCTTGCGTGAACCTTGTCCTGTGCAAGACTGCAAATTCACAGGACTTGGGCACAAATCCTTGAGGTCCTGTCAGTCATTCCAAGTAGACTTGAGGTAACTTACAAGCCCACTCCTCAGTAAAGCGTTAACAAGGGGCTTTGCCCTCAAATCTATTGTGAATGTAAACTGTTCACTCTTGAAAAGATCACCAGGAAGAAATTAAAAGGAAAAGCAAGGCTATTAAATAAACAGTATTTAGAAAAATACCCTTATGATTCAGGCTTAATAGCATCACAGCATAAAGAAGACAAAGGTTATTTACAGTGTTTTAGGACCTGAGTTGGCCTTGTGAGGACCACTGTTGGCTAAAGAACACATTAAATTAGGAACTTAACACAAAACAATTTCTCAGCTCTCAGATGTTACATGTAGGCTTAGGGATTTTTTTCATTTTTCTTTCTTTCTGAGCTTGGTTTGGTTTAGTTTGGTTTGGTTTTCTGAATTCCTTTCCTTAACTGGGAAAGAGCTGAAAATGGCTTGTCCCTCTGTACAAAGGATCACATGAGGAAAAGTGAAAATAAGATGTAGGACATAATCATGACGACCTACCACCTGACTCCAGCTGGACTGGCTATTATCAATGCTGGAAAGGGTGGGAAGAACAGGGCGTCTTTGCCACTGTTGGTGGGAGTGTAGTTAGTACCCCCACTATGGAAAGCCAATATAGAGAGCTTTCAATGTATTAAAAATAGAACTACCACCTGGTCCAGCAATCGTACCGTGTGGTTTTTGCCCAAGAGAAATGGAGTCATTCTGCTGAAGAAACATCTGCATTTCCTGCTCATTGCAGCGTTAGTCACAAGAGGCAAGGACCAGAATCAATTAGAATGACTATCAGCTGATCAATGTGTAAAGAACACGTGGTACGCACATGTAATGGGTACTGCTCATTGACAAAAAGAATGAAATCTTGTCATTTGCAACAACTGGAATGGAACCAGAGATCATTGTGTTAAGCACAATAAACCACGTATGGCAAAACAAGTGCCACATGATCTCACTCGTGTGGCATCTGGAATGGTTGATCTCACAGAGGCTGAAATTAGAACCACAGTTCCCAGAGTCTGTGGAGAGTAAGGAAGATGGAGAGATGGGGAGAGGTGGACCAATGGGTACCCCGTTCCTGTTAGGAGAAAAGACTTCTGCTGTGCTATTGTCCAGTTGAGTGGCCAAAGATAAAAATAGCATACTGTATGTTAATATTCTGAATGTTTCACCCTTAAGAAATGGCAAATGTTTGAGGAAATAGGTATGTTAAATCAGAAAGCATCACAAGTATCCCAGTTAGTACACACAATTTTCATGTATCAGCTTGAATAAATTCACTCAATAGCTTTGAAAAAGAGTAAACAAAAATAACCTAGAGCCTAAAAAGATACAGAAATGACATAAAAGTCACATATAGCATGACCTTGTTACAGCTACCTGAAGTAAAACCACATTTGCTGGTCTAGGCTTTCTAGCACCCAGTTTGAAGAGGGGAAACTTGTCCAGTTTTAGAATTAGAATCCAAAATACAAAAGTAGCAATCGCATCTTGAAACAAACATAAGACATGCAAATAAAGAACAATATGCAATACAAGGTGAATATTGCTTAGCAAAATAAGAAAATTACAGAACAATAGCTAAGGTAAATAGATGGTTTCTGGTTTGATTGCCTGAAAACTCTTCCACGATGACACATTTGTTTACCAAATCCTTACCTTGCCCTCTCTATGTTCTAAGCACTTTTCTGAACATATTCAGGAGAAATAACTTATAACATTCTCAGGTCAGTTATAGCAGCATATATGCATTTTACAACCAGGAAGCTAAGCAGCAAGGAGAGGGAGGCGTTTGGCAATTGATATCACTATTTAGCTGTTTAACCAGGCTGGGGAAAAAAGCAGACACCTTGCTTGGCATAGAGTAAGTGGGTTGTGAAGGAACAATGGATGTACAATGGGAGGAACACAAGGAAAACGGAAATGCTTGTATCCTTATCACTGGTGTGACTGTGACAGTACAGTTACCCAGAGGGTTGGGCAACACCTCACTGGGCTGCATTCTCTCTCGCCAGATCCAGAATTTGAAGAAACTGAAAGAGAGCAGAGCAGTAAGAAGCCCTGTGTCCCTCCCTGCTGCACCTGAGTCAGCAGATCAAGTCTGACGCTCTGGGGCTCCTGCCCGGGGAGGAACCTCGGTGTGAGCAGATGCATATGAGGAAGGGAATTCTGGGACACAAAGTTCAGTCTCGCTGAACACACATAGAGTAAATCCATGACAGTGGCAGAGCTGGGGTTTGAACCCAAGGGCCCGGTGTCTAAGTGGGTGAGCTTAACAGCTACTGTTTTCTACTTCCTCCTTAAGAGGAAGAAGTGGGCCTAAAGATCTACTAAGGTTCAGCCAGACCAAGATGCAGGCAACATGTGAGGTAAACCAATGTGTGCACAAATACAAGACAAACTGCACAATGCCTTGAAGACCTTGTAGAAATCCTGTTATTTCTTACCTCCTATAAATGAGAGACAACATACAAAATACGAAAAAGTTGATAGAGTCCAGATGTCTGACCTTTTCTGGATAATTATAAGTTTCTGGTATTCTAACTGTTGCTTTTATTTTTCCTAATAGGTTCAAAACAGATGCGGTAGTCAGATTTGGCAACATTTTCTACTTATGGAGTATTGTGTCCAAGGTTTTCGGTGTTCAAGAAATCAATGCCAATTTCACTGACTCTCAAAAGGTTATTGATTTTGTTGAAACTCACCAAAACTTCAGCATTACAGAGTTTGTAAAGAACAACGGATTTTTCCTCAATAGAAGCACCTTGTTGGCATGCGATTTTTTCGGAATGCGGTGTGGCCCAGAGGTAATAACTTGACATTTCTCCAAATAAAATGAAGACAATATGTTACTTTTTTGTACCGTTCCACATTGAGATCATTTCCATTGGGGAGTCAGTCTATGTTTACTCAACTATTATATTTCATTAGCTCTGCTTTGTGTTATCTGATATTATAATATCAGGAGATACGGAGCATACACGAGAAATTTTCCACTTCAAATAGCTAGATAAGGAAATATAGAGAACAGAAATTTTCATGCCTTTCTTGGGTCACAGTTCTTCCAAAAGGAAAACAACTTCCCAAAGCAAAATATTTTATTTCTTCTCATTTGTCAACAAACAACTTTCTCCAGGTAGCATTTGTAACATCTTTAAGCAACTGTCATTCTGTTTCTGTGCTTGGGCATTTAACAGCGGTGACAGAAAGTGACAGTGCCCCAGTGTCAAGCCATGAGAATTATTTCCCAACTGCATGATATCCATTATATATTACATACTTATTCATAGCACATAGAACTTTACTTTTATAGTTATGTAATTATCTGTATTTAAGACAGAATGTGGGACATCCAGAATCTATTAAATAAGAGATTTGGAGGCAATCTAAATCTCATATTTCCTGTATCAGCAGTTCTGTACCCTACACTGCTAAATGATTCTAACTAAACTTTATGAATTTATGATTCTGAAGTCCAACCTTTATCCTTTCATTGTCTCCATTAGCACACAAAACCTGCCTGAAAGACAAGACAGAAATGGCCTCAACTCCTAATTCAGAAAAGAAGCTTTTCTATCTCCTTGCTGTTTATTTACTGATATTTTAAACTCAACACCAGAAAATTCTGTGTTAGAGGTGGCCTTTTCAGTTCTGTATTATAGAAACCCAATTCTAGTAAGATGAAAAGCAAAATAAATGAGTTTGTTTAATGCAAATGACAATTCTAAGTATACAATAGCTTCAAAAGATGCTGCACTGAAGACCTTCAAGAATATCACATGATTCTTTGTTTCCATCTCATAACTCATATTGCCACCCAGAGGTTGTCAGGAAACCAGGGCTGTCTTATCATTGGTTAACACACTCACACACTCGTGTCCGCTTAGTGATCCCATGGAAACCCGACTAGTAACCTTGGATAATTATAAGTTTTTATGACCAAATCACTGAGGCCACAGGTGGGTTAGAGAGGGAGAGAGCAGCCTGGCTTACACCCCCTGCTCACCTCTTGGGTGGACAAAGCCTGGTGGCAGAGCAGGGTCAAGGGCAGAGCCACGGGTATTCCTCAAACAAAAGATGGTGGAGCAGGTCTCCATGAGTTTGTTTAATGCAAATGACAATTCTAAGTATACAATAGCTTCAAATAACATGCTCTGATAAATCCTTAGTAAAGCATAAAATAATTTTATAAATTCAAAATTGTGTCCAATGATATATGATGAAACCTCCTTTAAAGAATCATATACAGATTGAAAAACGCTCATTAAAAAGGAATAAAATCTAGCATGGAATATACACGTAAATCACAAGGCTGTCTATTCTTTTTTTTTTTTTTCTTAAGATAGTAAAACCAACAAAACAAACCGAACAAAGCCAATCAAGACAATGCAGCAAAGTTGGTACAGAACTTCAGAGCAGGATCCTGGGAAAACAATAATAGCTACCATAGCATATTTCGTTATCTTCACAAACGTCACCCATTCCACTAGGTATAGCAAAATCAAACCAACAATAAAACCGAATAAGACCAATCAAAACAATACTGAATAAAGCCAAACAATTAAGCAAAACAAAGCAAAACAATGAAAACTATATTGGCCTTCAAAGACAAGACAGAAAAAAAAAAAAAAAAAAAAAAAAAAACAAAGACAAGACAGAAGGAAATCCCCCATATTTGCTGTAATGCATACTGTCATCCTTGTAAGAGAAGTTCTATCCGCTGGCAATGGGCAGTGTTTGATTCTCAGCCTGCGCACCGGTAGGCTCTAGGCTCGCAGAAGGAGCTGTGCTTTCTTTCCCTAGAGCAGGTACGGCTTGAGCTGCTTAGTGGGAAGGCTGGCTGATTGATTTCTTGGTTACTCCCCTGAGTCCCAGCATCTCTATTCTCATTGATATGTTTGCATTCGTGTTTAGAGACATGTGATTTTTTAAAATGTTATAGAAATTTAAACTTTAGCAGTGAGGAAAATACTGTACTGATTTTGTTTTGTTTGGCTTCCTTTCATGTTGGAGGATTTTAAACACATCTTCACTGAATATGGAAACTGTTTTACCTTTAATCACGGTGAAAATATCCAAGAAAAGAAGAAAGTGAGCGTGTCTGGAAGAGGCTTAAACTTGGTGTTTGATGTACATCAGGTATCAGATTTTGTTGAACATAGCCAGGGTTTGAACAATCTGGAAGAAGCATGATTTCAAAAACAACAAAAAACAGAATAATTTGTTCTGTCAAATAGATCCAGTCAACTGGATATTATTTGTTTTTGTCACTTAAGCCCAGTATCCTCTGAATTCTATATAAATACTGATTTACAGATTTAAAAAGCGACATTTTCAAGTATAGCCAGGAAATCTTTGCTGTACTATTGACTTCTGTTACGATTCCAAGAATTGTTCACGCCAGAAAATAAGGAAACCAGAGACTTGTGAGTTGTGATATATACAGTTAATTTAAGATGACTCTATGTGTGTAATATTAGTAAGATTTTCCTGTAAATCAAGCAATTGTATTTTAGAAAGGAATTATCTACACATTTGACAACCCTAGAAAATGTACCATGAAAGATGATGTAAGAATAATTGCTATATAAAGAATGTTGTATAAATGGGCTTTTTCCAAGCTTGGCTTTCAAAAAGTTATCATCGGCCTAATAAATTCTTAGCTAGGAGACCTGAGAGGCTGGTGTTGAGACACCCACAACAGAAACACAGTGTTGGTGTCAAGGGAGCAGGCTGAGCGCCCCCTACAGGTCAACACTCACTTCCTGTCCCCGGCAGCCGCTTGGAGAGGTGCTCTCCATTACCACAGACTGATAAATAAGGATTCTACAGTGCTGGTAGTTTACACTTGAAAATTACACAGACAGAGATAATAAATAAACGCTGAATCTTACCAGCCTCCTTCTGTTCTGCTCTGTATGAATGAGGCCATTGATTATTTTAAGAGAATTTCTGTTGAGGTACTTTTATAACTTCCTCTTATATCCTATTCACGATATGATCTTTATTTCCAAGGACAACGTACACTAAAATGCCTTTACCTACCTATATTTGTGTAAGGTGCGTGCATGTATGTGTATTTACTAGCACTTTCAAGTCTTTCAAATATTATCCCTATGGTAATATTATAACCATGTGGTCAGTTATGAATTTCACAAGCTACATTTCCCAAATATTTGTTCAGTGTCATTAAAATCTATGAATTTAGTGCAGTATCACATAAATAAATAGCACTGTGATATGCCCCTAGGGTAGGAATGTATTTTGTGGAGATCTAGCAGCCCATGAGGAACTGGATTCTGAGTTTCAAATGTAACATTACGCATGTTGGTTAGAGGCAGTCACACAAGCAGCTGACCCATTTTCTTAAAAAATCAATATATTCTCAAGCCCATTCTGGCTCTATTTAGCCTGAAATTACAACTAAATTGTAAGTCTCAAATTTCTCCATTGCACATAGGGTTTATATCAAAGAAGTACCGGTGTTAAAAAAAAAATTAAATCTCCACTCTTATGAAAATAAACCTGAATTTTAAATAAGGCTTCAGACTTTAATTGCAAAGCAAAGAGGACCAAGTGAGTCTCTCGAATGCAAGGAATGCAGAGAACAGGCCAGGAGGAAGCCACTAAAAACCCCAGGGGAAGAGCAGGCTGGGGAGGAGGAAATCATTCCCAGGCATCGCGTAGACATCCAGGGAGCATCTATGCTAAAGGCTCACCTCTGGGGACCTCCCAGAGCTCCGGGCTGTGACTCAGCCATGAAAGTATGTTTTTGGTATTTCATTTTCACACTTTTACATAAAAAGAGATTGAATCCTAACAACAAATAATTTTTTTCTATCATAAGACACCATTTTCTTTCCTGCTATATTTCTTTTTTTGCTATTACTTTAATAAGAACAAAGCCAAACAAAACAAAACAGAATAAAGGCAATCAAAACAAACCAGTGTGACACAGGACTTCAAAACAATACAAATTCAACAATGGTTACCATAACGACCTTAAGTAGATGAAACATCATCACAACGTGACCAGATGAAATCCTAAACTTGTGCGGGACTGATGTCATTGATTTGCTTTTTGAATATGGTTTGTTTGTTTGTTTGTTTCAGGAGAAATTTACAGACAACCCAGACCTTGGTTTTGCTGATGCAGGGATTGTCTTTGCTATCCATCCACCTAGAAGGGAGCCACGGTTTGATGGCTTAGGCTTGTCCTCACCCGTGGGCATGCATGCTAGGGTGACAATCCGCCAGCTGAGGGTGAGCACCGGGGACGTGTGGAGTGTGGGGACCACCAGTGCGGTGAGTGTTTGGAAGGCACGAATAACACTGTTTTCGCAGAAACTCTGCTTTCTCATGCCTTTAAACCATTGGGGAAAATACCACAATTTCGTTTCAGGTTCTTTTCCTATATCTGGAGGCAGATATTTAATGACAGTGAATCTATATATTTAGTTGGGAAGTCTGCCAGATCCTAGGCAACCCAAATTCCTCTGGAAAAGGAGAAGTTCACTGAGCAGGATGCCCCAAGCGCTGAGCTGTGCATTGACTCAGTGGGAATGAAAGGGTGAGAGACGGAAGAGGTTGCAGTCTGGGGCTGGTCCTGCCTGCTGTGTCCGGCTGCTTGCCCAGTAATTCCCTTAGTGGACTTTGTGAAATTGCATCCCCTCCCAGGATAGTGAAGGAGGATGTGGTGGTAATGGTTCTTTTTCACAATTGTTCCATGACACATAGTTGGTATCCAATAAAAAATTTTTTTGAATATTGCCTGCTATTTCATGGGCAGTGTTGGTAGGCTAACATGAGCTTTATATAAATGATTTTCCCTTGCATGAGTTCATTTCTAAAATTATTGGTTTGATCTTATGCATTAGTATTTGGGGTGAATGTTAACAGATCACTGTTATACGTCAGGGATTTTTAGATTCAGAGAGTAGGCAAAGCTGGCCAGCACAGGCAATTTTAAAACATCAAAGAGCTCGTGGGAAAAGTAAAAATATGTACATCAGTCTTGCAGATGGAAGCAGGCAGATTGTGAGAAATCTGAATGCAGTGTTTGTTTTACCTTAAGACAGTGCACCAGGAGTACCCCTGGGGAGAGTGCAACCCGAATATGAAACTGCGGGGTTTGGACAGTTATAGCACCTTTGGTTGCTTGAAGGAGTGCAGAGCCCGACACATAGAGCGGCAGTGTGGCTGTCTGCCATTCACACTTCCAGGTAATTAAGGGATGGCACTTTCCCATGTAGTTAGTGACTTTGGAACTAAAAAAATGAACACCGTTCATGGTTTTTCATTCTTATAAAGTGTTAGTCTGGAAAATGCCAAATGTCTCAACTGATATTTTTTTAAACTAAGTTTATTGGTGCATCTGAAGTGTATATAGTGATCGTGTTCATTCTCGGGAATTTGTACCTGAACACATAACTTGATTCTTTTGCCCCCACCTCCTCCCTCACCTCCCTTCAGCCCCTCTTTATTTACAAAACCTTTGTTACATCTGAAAGACACAAGGTGACTTTGGCGTAATCTAAACAAAACCTTTGCTTCCATTTTATTCTTCTTTCATCCTCAAATCAGTTTTCTAGATACAGGTCATTCCTGAAGCTTCATTGCCTTTTATAATGGAAGAAACAGTGATGAAAGAAGTGAGACCACCTTGGAAAAATGGTGCTGGAAACAAGCGTTTTCTTCCGTTTTTCACCTTTTGCAGTTTCTTCACAAGAAGCGTTTCCTTGCAGGCATTCCAGACGCGGTTCACAAATCCTGGGTGGACGGCCTACTTTGGTTGTCTGCAGGACTGCTGACCACACATTGGGATTAACCACAAGAACACCACGGGTTACAGCACCATACAAACACTCTACTAAGGTTCAGACTGAGGTTTTAGAGTCAGGCCTGGGATTGAACTCAACTCAAATATATATATTGACTTTATAATTTGCCTCAAAATCCACAGTAAATGTTTAACAAACACTAATATGCATCTACCTTGTCTAGTCACAGAAATGTAGTCTGTCAAGAAAACAAGTTTGTGGAGCTGGGGATTTAGCTCAGTGGCGTAAGCGCCTGCCTTGCAAGCAGGTAGTCGTGAGTTCGGTCCCTGGTACCAATAAAAACGAAAAAGACAAACAAACAAAAAAAAAAAAAAGAAAACAAGTTTGTTTGTACATCTGTTAGTGTGTGTCCTGTTTCTGGGACATGATACCCTACATGCATAATTTAAAAGAAGAGAAGTTTAACTTGGCTCATGGTTTGAGACAATTCAGTCCACAGTCATCTGGCTTCAAGGCTGGAACATCATGGCAGAAGGGTGTGGTGGAGCAAAAAGGCTTAGTTCATGGTGGCTGGAAAGCAGAGCAGGGCAACAGAGCAGAGAGAAAGGGGCCATAATGTCTTCCTGCAGTCACCCTCCTCAATGTACCCAGATGTGTGCTTTCTAATCCCTGAGTTGGCTCCAACCCATCAAGTGGACACAATGCAGCCTAATCACCTCAAAATGTGATGCGTGGATAGATGATAGATAGATAGATAGATAGATGATAGATTAGATAGGTAGATGATAGAAAGATAACAAACAGAGCAGGATAGAAGTTATACGGAATGTGCCATGGTCCCACTAGTAGCAAAGTCTTGGGCAAGTCATTTTCTGAAATTTAATTTCTTCATCTGCAAAATAACAATTCCCACATCACAAGATTGTGAGCAGAGTCAAATGAAATAATAGCAATAAAAGCCATTTTATTTTATTTTATTCTTTAATCAAATCCAAGGCATTGTGCACATTATTCCTAATGAGAGGCTTTAGAATTATATAGAGGGAAAACAAAAACATCTTTCATCTTCTCAACATATACTTTTCCTGTCTTAATATATCTTAATACTTGTCTTATAAAGGAACAAATGTCCATATGGCTACATGAGCAGGTGTGTGGATGGATGGATAAACAGCAGATGTATGTGACAGTTACTTTTGTCATGAGATTGCTTAATTTATACATGAAATCTTGAGGTCAAGGTGTTACTCAGTGGTAGAGTGCATACTTAATGTGAGTGAGGTCTTGAGTTTAATAATCAGCACCAAAACAAAAAGAAACAATCTGTTTATGTTACATTTACTTTTCTCAAGGAAATAAAATAGAATGTGACCTACAAAAGTACTACAACTGTGTCTCTCCGGTCATTGGTAAGTAGCTTAATTTTTTTTGGTGGGGGAGGATTTGTGTTACAGGTTAAAGTTACTTATAGTAATATACACCATTAAGTCATATTGTGTGTGTATGGCACAAAAATGAAACAGAAACAGACTATGAGAGAGATTTGTTAAATATTCTTAGTCTGTGGCCTACATAAACATTGACAGTAAAATAAAAACGTAGAACAAAACTTTCCCTGATTTGAAGACTTCAATTAAAGACACACGATGAGAGTAACGGGAAGAATTCTTGGTTTCACTACCGAATCTTTACAATGATTTTAAAATTTTGGTTTTGAAAATAAAAAGAACCATTTTTTTATTATAGGAACAAAATGTGTTTATTGTGAATATATCAAATATTACAGAACAGAAGACAATCCCAAATGTTAGTTCAAGCTGTATCACTTTCTACATGACTCAACCATCCATTTCATAGTACATACATTTTATATCTAAAATTTTTACATAAATCAAATCAGAACCACACAAGCCTATTTATTGGGGAGAAGTTCTTACATATTATTTTTCTTTTGCTTACATCCATATCTTAGTCCTCAACCAGGGTTAACATTCTAGTATATTCTTCCATAAAATTCTCCCTATTACTTCAGACTTATGACTTTAAGTCACTGTTTATTTAATGAAATATTATTGCATACTTTTTTGTAAAAAGTAAGAAAATATTCTTCTAATCCAATGTAGAAATATCTCTAGGACAGCAGAAATGGATTTGACAATTTCTTTTTAATGATTGTAAAATATTTCAAGATATAAATGTAATTGGAGGGGATTTCATGTTTTCCTATGGTTCACAGATTAAATATTGCAAAACAGAATCACACTGATGACCAAAAGAGTTTGAATCATGTTTTCTAATTTCTTGTTAGGAAAGGCAGAGAGAGTTTGAGGAGAAAAAAATCCATACATGTGGTTCTTTGGGGACTGTTAGGGTTATAGGCCACTGTGTCTCAAACAAGTGTAAAGGGTGTATATCTGTATGTATGAGTGTGTAAGCATATATATGTGAGTGTGAGCAAGTGAGAGTGAAAACGTGAGTGACTCTGTAAGAGTATGTGTACATGAGCATGTCTCTGTGTGCAAGTGTGTGTGTGTGCGTGAGTGCATAGGATTGTATGAGATATGTGAGCATGTAAGTGTACGAGTGTAAGAATGTAAGTGGATGTGTGTGGAGAGGAAGAGTATCGTTTCTACCAGCAGTCTTAAAATACAGGAGGACACCCTAAAAGTGGTGCACTCTTAGGGAACAGAAAACAAGTCCAAGATTGGGTGTTAATCAAGGGTGTTGGTGACAACAGGTTCACGGGGACAAGGGTCTTTAGTGGTCTTTAGCAGTGGGAGCAGGCAGGGGCAGGCGGTGCTAAGGAACAGGAAGGCCAAAGTCACCCTTGCAGGGCTCTTACCAGGACGTACCCCAGAGTGACTGACGGTGCAGAGGAGGAGGGAGGAGAGCACAGCGGCTCCCAGAGTAGTCACAGGGCCCAGCATGAGAAATCATAGCAGCTCATTCCAGGCAAATATACACTGAGCCAAGCGGAAGGACAACTTCAGTTTAACCTAAGCCATCTGCTTCCGGGATGATGTTTGAAAGTCCTCTCATAGTGACAGGAGGTCACACAATTCCCGACCTTTCTCCTAGCCAAGCTGCTGATACTTTATGGAAATGACCCAGAGATTCCTAGAAGCATTTCTTATTCCTAACAAAGGTCTGAACCCAGAATGACTCAAGGAACTCAAGGATAGCAGCTCTTATGGTTTATATTTCCTTTCCTTCATTGTATTGTGGTAAAATATAAACAGCCCTGCAGGGATAAAAATTATTGACCACCCTTTTTAATACTGGAATTGGAACCTCTGCCAACCCTATAACCCTCTGTCTTCCCCACTGTGACAGACTCTTCCATCCTCTGTGCTGGTTTTTATTCCAGAACACATAGAGCTGAAGGCGCTGTGCACCATGGGGACACACAATTCCAGCTGCCCGGTGTCCTGCGAGGAGACAGAGTACCCCGCTGCCATTTCCTACTCCACCTTCCCGAGGCAGAGCGCTCTGAAACACCTTTCCAGGAGGCTGAATCAAAGCGAAGCCTATATCAGGTGATCTTGTTAGTCTCGTAAATTATCCATAATTCACGTGAAGTTTGTCTTTGTTGGAAACATTAAAATTTCAGCAAATGAAATGTGTACGCATGGAGGGAAGCAACTCGATGTCGCTGAGCTTAACAGTGCAAGCACAGATTGGGAATTTAGGAAAGATGATGCCTTTCCATCCCTTCCTCTATAGGAGGGAAAAGCTGCTCGCTGGACAAATTTGTGCAAGAGCCCACCTTCACACCTCACTGGGTGAAGAGCCCGCTGACTGGGGTCAATCAACAGTTTAAAACAGGGGCTGCTCTTATCGGTGTATTGTGTAGTTCGCATCTTCTAACTACTGTATCCGTAGACTGAGGAGAAATAGCAATTTCTCATTTGCAGAACATGAAGTTGAAGCACTTTGGATTTCAAATGATTTTCTAATCAGTGGCTTAGAATGGAATTATGTCCAAGAACTGTGATCTGGTCTCAACGTTTTTCCTCAGGGACACAAGATTCCATTTCTGCTTCTAAACTGAGTATTAAATTGGTTTTTTCTGCTTAGAAATTTTAAATTAAGCTTCATGAAGAACTCTTGCTTTGTCCTTTTTTTTTCATCAGTGAATGAGGAAACATTTCTCTTTGATTTTTATTTTTACTTTTAGGCCTAGGACCTGAAGCAACAATAATAGTATGTTGGTATGTGTCTATATCTTTTAACAAATGTAAATTAAAGTTGGTTTATCTGTACACAGCATCTTTACATAGCATTAGAGTATGTTTTGATTCAGTTTTGTCCTAGCATTTATTTTAATAAAAGAAAAGTTCTTCCATGTAAATACATAAAAGACAAAATGATCTTTACAAATCAGAAAGAAAAAGTATTTTCATTAAGTTAGAGTTCATGGGATATTAAATGAAATAGAGACAAAAAGTAGGGAAGGCATAAACTTAATTATACTACTGTCTCCAGAACAGATATTTCTTTATTTTCAATTCTATTTTTAGTATTAAGGATCTATTATTATTTTTTTATTAGTTACATGTATGTAGTGCAGAATGCCTGCATTCCTGGTACTGTACAGAGCACAGTTTAATTTCTTTTTTAATCCCTCTTCCCTCCCCTTTCTCTCCCTCTCTTTATGCTCTTCCCCATTTGGAAGGATCTATCCCCATGTTTCCTATTACGTATTTTTTATTTTGGTCTTTTTATATCTTGGGTTTCTAATATAAGAGAAACCATGTAATATTTAAGCTTGTCTTTCTGACTTATTTCACTTAACATTATGGCCTCAAAGTATATTCACTTTCCTGAAGATTAATAAAGTTTATCTTTCTTTATGGCAATATATTCTGCTTTAATATGGGATTTGCTTGTAGCATTATGCCTGCTATGCTTAAATATGACTTTGTGTGACTTTTGAATTTTAGAGATCTACCGAATCCAGAGTGTCTGGATTTGAACAGAAGGTAGGCGACGTATCAGAGGCACACTGGTAAAGCAGAAAGCAAGCCCATGTATTAAATGGGAATATCTTGGGGAACACTATTTCTTTAAATCTGATGTATATATATAGTGTTCCAATCACTGTAACAACTGATGGAGAGGAAGTGGCTGTGGATAGCAGAAGCTCTTCTTAGGCAGAGCCAAGCATGTGGCAGTTGCTGAAGTCATTATGAAGATGATGAGAAGCTCAGTTCAGATGAAGGTGGTGTGAAGGGTAAACTGTGGCTGGACTTGGGAGATTTCATTAGTCCTCAAGTGAACTGTTAAAATTATTCTATTGTTACATTTTGTATCTCAGTGTCCTCCATAAGCCCCATGCAATCACAGAGATTTTCAAAAGTGGCTGGATCTAGGGTGTGTGCTGCTGGGATCCAGGGTGTGATGCCAGGATGGATTCAGGGTGTGATGCTGGGTTCCAGGGTTCGATGCAGGATTGATTTCCAATGTGCTGCTGGAACAAGGGCGCTCCTGTAAGGTGAGCAGCCGGGATACAATGCAAGGAAAAGAAAGAGGCCTCTGCTGTTGCTATTTGCTCCTTTCTGCTCCTCTACTCCACTGCTTGCTGCTTCCTGTCTTCTGCCCACCATGAACTGTGTCTTCTCTGTGATGCGCTCTGCCACCTGCACTGCCTTGGAGCCAGCTGACTATGAACTGAAACCTTGCAAACTCTGTGCTGCAATAAACATTCCCCACTTCAATTTTGGATGTCAGGTATTTTTGTCTCAGCAATGAGAAAAGTAACTAAGTTTAATATATTTTGAAAATAAATTTTACAAGACAGTTTTATGCAACACCACTTCATTCTCTGCCTTGGTTACTTTTTTCTCATTGCTGGGACAAAATACCCAACACCCAAAATGAAGGAAGGAAAGGTTTATTTAGTTCACTGAATGTGGAGGTTTCAGTCCATAATCAGCTGACTCTGAGGCAGGATGGCATGGCACTGAGGCACACTTCAAGGCAGCAGCCAGCAAAAGCAGCCAGAGCAAAAAGGGGGCAAAAACAAGTCTCTTTTCCCCTTTTATATCCCTGCGAGGGGGGTGTAGCACTTACAAAATCTCCCTGCCTTCCTCTTGGATATGTAAGAACTAAGAACCCTAGTTCTCTGCTAAGTCTCTTGGTTAACTTGTGAACTTCTCAAGTTGATACAATGTATCAACCACCACATTCCCCTGAAGGTCCCACTCCTGTTGAGGTACCTGAGAGGTAGCATTTCTTCAGTGTTTTGTAACATGAAGCTCATTTTCCACCTCTTTGTCATTGTTAAAATCCAGACTTTATCTTATAACTGTGCTTTTCCTAAGACCAGCAAATGTCCTTGGACCTCGTTGAATAGTTTCATTATCACCAGGAGGAGCAGATTCAGTGAGATCCAAATTACTGGGCAGATCAGCTGCCTGAGAGAAGCTGAATAAACACTGTGGTGTTTTTGTGGGACAGGAATTTCTCTTCTCTTAGAAACACAGATAGATAATGCCTGGATGTGATCATGAACATGGTGCTTGAGAAATTAAACAGTATTATCAGTACACATGCGAATTAGAAGCACTCTGGAAGACAGAAATATTGGAACCTTACCAAAATTTCTGCATTGCCAAGACAATTTTATGATTTCTTTCACTTTGGCAACTGCTTTATTATTTGTAAATATAACAACGTGTCCTATTTGTCTCTTTTAGTGTTGTACATTCTTCTGTTACTCAGGGTTAAACCAATGGAAATTAAGTACACATGTTAATGATGCATTTTGAATTAAGTACATTTGGGAATATTGATTTCAGAGCTATAAACAGTAAGGAGAGTGATTTATAGCCGTGTTCCTTAGAAATGTTAATGAATATCATGTAATTCCAGGAAGCAGTATAATAAGATCTATCCTTAATGAACATTTTTACTGTCATCTGAAAAATCATGAGGTGGTTGGTTTTAACTTTATTTTATACCACAAGCAAATTAATATTTATTTATTGGCTTTCTTTTTAATTTGCTTCCATTTCTTACAAATATAAGAGAACACCTGCTATGCATTAGGAGTTGAGGGGTACCCCTGGACTTAGGGATGCCTCAGTATATGAAAAACAAAAACATTGCTGTGTGTCTATTTCCACTGAGATGGGAACGAGCAGCGAGGATGTACAGTCACATCGAGGCTCAGGTGGCTTGCTAAGGAAGCCACCTGAGCAGTACAGTGCTCTGGAGAAGCCGGAGTCAGAGAGGGTCGTTCACAAGGCTGGGGACTGTGATCAGTCAGAAGCATTTTAAGAAGGTAGAGTTGAACAAAGACCTAAAGTGGTGATTCTCGAAAATCCATGGAGAGCGAAATCCCACTATTCTGGGAGACTGAGGCAGGAGGATTACAAGTTCAAATCCAACCTGGGCAATTTAGCAACTTAGCAAGACCTTGCCTCAAAGTAAAAATAACAGAATGTGAAATACTGGAAACTCAGTGTGGGGGTGTAGCTTCGTGAAGTTCCCTGGGTTCAGTCCTGATCACCCCACAGTCCAGGCAGAACTTTCTTCAGGAGTACACGGGGAAATCTCAGTGGAAAAGGGGTAGAGACTGCTCAGAAGTGTCATGATTTGGCAATTTGCAGAAATATATTTTGCTTACTGTGCAAAGCAGAGAAGGTGCGTAGCACTTTAAAGTGAGAAGCAAAAGGACCCGCCAGAAAGCTCTTAAAAACCCAGGTGAGGTAGTATGGAAGTTTTGGCTGAGGTGGCAACAGTGAGCAGGGCGAGCGTGGCAGCCTCGGGCCAGGTTACAAAGGTGAGACAGACAGGACTGCTGCAGTGGGGATGGGGGGTTCAATGCCTACATGACCGACATAGGAAATAGCAAGGGTTTGACTGGAATGTGTTAAATCAATGAGCAACCGAGCTGAAAAACCAAGAAGCCACTGGAACAGCAAAGTCTGGGACAGAGTTGGGGTAAGAGCTCCCACCCCGTGTGAGAGCCACCATCTCCTAGCAGAGGAGGGTTCCTAAAGACATCAGGAAGTCTTAGCTCAAGTACATCAGTGACCGGAAGTGAGTAACCTTTACTGAGCACTCTGCAGTCCTGTGCAACATTATTTAATTTCTTCTCAGCACCACTCTGTGGAGTGCTGAAAACTGTCCTGGCCACAGATGAGCAAACCAAATCTCAGGTGAACAAACGCAGTGCCTCCGGAGTGGCATAAATAGCAGAGAAAAGAACCAGGAGTGAAACTAAAATCAAACATGTATTTAACTATTTTTAAATGCTTTAGCCTACTTATCAGATGTTGAGAATGAAAGTCTTCTTCCAGTTTCTCAGGAATGAGGAAAAAGTGAGATGTGAGCAATGATTCCTTCTCCCAAGTCCCAACATAAAGACACAAAGGTGTCTTCCAAATGGTGTCACCTGGAATTAATATTGAGTATGCAGGTGTGTCTAACTCAGTGCTGACGGGTAGTGTTAATTCTGTGTTCATCTCCAGAGAGAATCTAGTGAACATTGAGATAAACTACAGTGACTTAAACTATGAGATCACACAGCAGCACAAAGCAGTCAGCGTGCCGGAGTTACTTGGTGAGTGTTTCTTATTTGCCCCTGGATTTTCTATGGGGATTTTCCCTCCCTTTGGTAGCTGTTTTAACTTATTAACTTATTAATGGAGAAAAATGTTCTTGACATTTGTCAGCTGTTTAAGCCCGGTCCTCTCGTGGTTCTTAGAAAGCATAGGTGAGGGCCCGACCAGCTCTGATAGAGTGGCCAGCACAGAGTGGCCACTTCCTTTCATACTGGCCAGCACAGAGTGACCTCTGCAGAGGCTGCCAGGGAGTTGCTACAGCCACCTCACCCTCCATGCACAGCTCCGCCAGGGAGGGTGAAAGAGGACAAGTGCGCCAAGCCCAGCACTTGGGCTCCCGTCACCCATCTCTCCGTACCATGCGTCCCTGCTCCCCCTGAGCCCCCGGTGTTTGCAGGAGGCTGGGTTTGCTGGAGGTGGGAGCCAGCCTGGAGGCAGCAGCGAGGCAGAGCCAGCCACTGAGGCCCTGGAGAGGGAGAGGGTGTTTGATGCTCTGCAGTTCTAAGAAGGCCGCGCAGCAGTTTGCAACTTCACAGAGGCGAGCGTGAACCGGGCACTGGCAGGCGCTAAAACCATCCCCTGGGGGGAAGTGGACACCCACAGCCGGTGTATGAGAGTGTGGCTGTGCTCCACGCTACGGAGCTCCGCGTGTAGAAGTGGCAAGCATGACGAATTGTATGTCATGTGTATTCTGTCACAATAAAAAACAAGTGAGATAAATATGGCTTTTAAAAATTTTAAAAAGCAGTGTTTGCCTTGGCCGTGGCGATGCACGTCTGTAATCCTAGTACTCATGAGGCTGAGGCAGGAGGATTGCTGTGAGTGAGTTCAGGCCACCATCCCATGATGCTTCTTCTGTATGTCATTAAACACACAGAAATGACCTTGGTATTATTTGGGATCATTTAGAGTTTAGCTGGGTTGCATATCTCCTAAAGTCTTTAAGGTACATTTCTAGAAACAGATTTTATATTTGTTTTCTCCTTTTTGCAATGACTTGAATGAATAACATTGCCAGATGTTATGAATCATTCTTACTTTAATGATGCCAAATTTTAATTTAGTGCAATCAATTTTCATACAATATCAGTTGTCTGACATTATATAATCTGTCTTCATATAATATTGTTTATCTTTTTTCCATTATCATCTAACTAACTTTGTAGCTTTGAATAATTTAATTTCTAATAATTTTTATGTTTTTATGAAAACTAATTGGCTCAATTTTTTTACCACTTTTTATTACAGCAGATGTTGGGGGTCAACTGGGCCTGTTCTGTGGAGCCAGTCTGATTACAATTATTGAAATTATTGAGTACATATTCACCAATTTCTATTGGGTATGCATCTTCTTTTTGCTGAAGATACTTAAAGTAACCCAATGGACTCTGCAATCTCAGAACCATTCTGGAAATAAAAATAGTATAGAAGAATGCTAATATTCAGTTAAAATAAAAGTGTATTTTTTTCCCATTCACTCCTTCAGATTTACCAAGGTTAATTCATTGTTATTCAATTTTATGTTTGGAGAGTTGAATAAAAGCCATTGAAGACACTGATTTCTTTCCATAAGTTTCTATCCATTCGCTACTATTTATTTCTATAAAAGAAGTGAGTCCTATTTTTGCCACTGTATTAGCATCTAGAACAGTAAAAATTATATCACAGACATTTCATATTTCATCCAATGAAAAAAGGTTTGATAATGGGAAAATACCCCTATTTATAATTAAATATGTAAATCACACTTAAGAAAGTACATTATTTGGAAATAGTAGATATAATTTATGCTTTATAAAATTTTGAGAATTTTGGTTTTCACTGAGTTTCAACACAGTTTATCTTCTTTTGTCTGCATGGCTCTATTTTAACTGACTTTTAGAGGGCAGGGATCTGCTACCTATGGTTATGGATGCTTACAATGATTTAAATTGAAAGCCATCAGAATTGGTATCTTACCCTTTGTTTCCAAGGGTACCAATGTACTTGATATCATAAAGAAGGAAAATTCAAGTTTCAGTGCCTACTCTTGGGGCAGTGACCTACTTTTTCCCCTCAAAGAATGCACACTCAGTGGTGAATTATTCAGAAGCTTCTCTAAGTCACTGAAGAAGCAATAATAATCAGGTCAGGGAATTCTAGCACAGGGCTGTGGCCGCAGCTCAGTGGTGCAGCACATGCTTAGCACATGCAGACCTGGGTCCAGTCCCCAACACACGCAAACACAAATGCATGCACACTGACACATAGACACATGCACACAGACACAGATATAGGTACACACACAGACAAAAACACATGCACACAGAGACATGTGCACATATACTTAGACATTCATACACATATACATATTGACACACAAGCACACACATGCACATACACACATGCACACACAAAGAAATCTACACACGTGCACCAGACACATAGACATGTACACACATACACACAGACGTATGCATGCACAAAGACACATAGACATATGCATGCACACACATGCACACACAGACATATGCACACACACACACATGCACATATATACATGTAGCGCACACATTTTTGTCCCAGACTTATCCTAGATAGCTCTGGTTGCATTTGCCTCCTGAATACTTGAGACCAACTCCTGAAAAATCTCTGAAGTTGTGGGTGAGCTTAGCAAGAGGGGAGCGCTGCGCTGCAGGAGCGAGGGCAGTGCAATGTGCTCCTCAGGTGCAGTGGGAATATACACTGCTCATGGCTCACAAATCACAGTCTTGGAAAGCAAGCAGAGGAACCATGACATATCATGTCTCCTGTGGAGGTGCCAACCGTTGGCATGTCCATCTCTGGCCAGTGACGCAGATGCACTCTCTGGAAGACCCAGCAACAGAAAAGAAACAACTGGAAAGAATGGCTCATTTTGGTAATACTACTGCAGCTGATTCGAAGGTTCTGTGAGTGCAGTTTCTTGCTTGCTGCATTGGTTGGAAGCTTAAAATCCCTATACTTATTTAAACATACTAAATAGAAGAGAAATATTTTTCCCTGTTTAAATCTTGAAACAATTCATGTTTTGAGTTATTCAAAGAACAAAGACTCCACAAATTTTGTTGTATGGTTATCATAGAATGAGTCAGTTAGAGAATATAATCCAAACAGCATTTCTGGACTTGATGAGACTAGCAGGAAAGGAAATATTAAGTATTGCATATAATTTACCTTCCAACATTCCTATGTCATGAAAGTGGAAAACCATACGTAGTTCTGAATGACACTAACGTGATTGCTGCCATGTGACAGCTAACTAGCTGAGAATGGAATTTATTAGAATTGAACTCTCACTTCCTGTAATCCAGACCAAAGAACCTAGACTCTGGACCCTACACCAGGAGTGCTGACCACTGGTGTGGGCAGTGCTGAGCGGTGAGAGAACTGTGAGGACTGTGAGCTCTCACATGTGCATAGCAGAGGCACTCTTAAGGTTTACATGTAAAACGTTCCCCCAAAGTCTCCTGTTTCTAGTGGAAGCTTCTGGAAGGTGATTGGATAACAGGTTACGCATCTAAATGTGCTGTCAGGAGGCGGACCTTGATGGCAGGAGGCAGGTCACTGGAGATGTGACCTGGAAACCAGCATTCTTGGCCCTGGCTCCTCATCCTCGCTCTGCCGCTGCCTGCCATGGTGGGCAGTTGCCCTCTGCCACGCCATTTCTCTCTTACAGCCAGCCTTGGCCTTAACCTCAGAAATTGTGAGCCAAAATAAACCCCTCTTCCTTTAATTTGTCCCAGCTTTGGGAAAATGACTAATAAAAGCACCTGGGTGGGAAAAAACAAGGAATGTGGAAGGTAAGATTTTAATGTCAACCTGATATGACCCTACCCTTGATTTAAAGTAATAAAAGCTCTACAACAGATGACCAGATACACATGGTGTCATCAGCTTCTCTGCATACACTTCTGACCCATGAGAGGTCTGTAGCATAGGTTAAAACAGAGAAGCTAAATGAATGAAGGTGCAAATGCTATGACAGAAGACCCTGGTGCTTTGCTAATCATTGTAGTGAAATCACTGATCAAGGAAGAAAAGCAAATTTATCGCAAGCAATATGAAATTAAGACTGATGGTTGCAAACAACAGCAAGAAGAAATTATTTCTAGCTTTTTACCAAAAGTTCTGTTGGGAATGCTGCAGTACTGTCTCCTCAGGGCCACTACTCTAGGACTCTGTTAATAAACACACCATCTAGATATCCCGTGAGAGTCTTGCTTGCTGACTGTACCTTAATTTAAAACTATATAGATAAACAACTAAATACTATACAGTACCAGACAGGCTGGGCATAATTGGACCACTTGTCTGAAAATTACCATCTACTAACCTGAATCTGTAAGAAAATATTATGCTAAGCACACTGAAATAAAGGAAGCTATTCGGGATAAATATAAATCTTCACTTGACCCACGCATCTAAATAATTCCTCAGGATTTTAAATATCTGAATAGTACCTCTCTGCGATTGAGAAAATAATCTAGTTTGAAACTCTCTAAAGTAATCTAGAACTTTCTTACAGGGAAACGGCATAGTCTGTTGAAGCGATTGAAATGTCATGGGTCCCAGCAGCCCTAAGTTTGTGGCATGCTGGTTACTATTAAGCCACCCTTGTGTGGCAGCCATGAGCAGACTTTAGATATCATAACAAAGACAGGCGCTTGACCATACCCTGCTGCACAAGGAGACAGGGCGACCTGAAGCTGTGATGGGCGTGCCTGGCAGCCTACATGCATACACAGAAGTTTAAAGAGCTGAGTCAGCTACAAGTTTGCAAGTGTCTGCAAGAAAAGCAAATGGCAACAAGGAAAACTGGAACACGAAACAGGCCAGGTAAAAGGAATTTCTGGGATGGGGAAGGGCTGGAAAGGGATGAGGAGCAGGGGTAGGAGACTGACAGGGCTGGGATAATCTAGGGGCACACATTTTTCCTGCAGGAAGACAGTTCTGTTCCTCACTTAGGTGATTATTTCATCTCAAGGGTCCCACAGTGTTATTCACTTCCCTTATCCCTCTTGGATGAATTTAAATTCAATGGTAGAAAGCGAGTAGAAAAAAAAGCTTTCAGAGACAGGTACTGATCTGTCACAGTGCTGGAAGAAAAAAGTGATCAAAATGATGGGCTTGAACATCAAAACCTTCTTGCCAGCTTCCTGACTATCACCGGTGAGCCCAGAGCTCTGGAAGTGGTGACAGACTTTGAGAGGACTGGAGGGCAGCAGGCGGGCACTTATGCTGATTGGAGAAGCAGGCGCAATATCCAGAGCAGACGAGTCAGCCTGGCATAGCCTGAGCACACCACGCCGGGGAACGGAAGGCATTCCCTCCATAAGCAGACAGCTTCGCCCTCACCGCCTGAAGACTGAAGTGCATCAGTTTCACCTCGTCCCAGTCAGGACCTTCTTGGCTGCCCACATTCCCAGCACATCAGAAGCTGTCCTTGGGGGTCACAGACCACAAGAGCCCTTGCATGAAGGTTCTCTAGCTGCAGGATGTGTGCCCCTTCTCTCCTCAGATCACCACACCTGCTCCCCTGGGTGCTTTCTCCTTTCCTCTTACTTGGTGCTGCCACCATCCTGATCCACTGCTCCGCGCCTGGCGTGTGACAGCTCTGGTGTCCCTTGGCACCTCGCAGCATGGGGCACAATGCCACCCTAATAACCACGCCCCTGGTTTCTTCCATCTCAGTTTAATTCCTTGTCTCTTAAACATTAGGTGTTTTATCAGTGCTATTTTTAAAAATATTTCAATATTGTAATAAATTAATACGTTCAATTAGACAGTCGAATACATTTTTACACAGAGATTAACACAGGAAAGTAGATACAACATACAATCAACATGTTCTTTTTAGGATTATTAAATATTTTTAAAAATTGGAAATTTTTTTAAAAATAAAACAACCATGTTCTCACTGTTCAGATTTAACCAACATTAGGTCTGGACTTATTTCCTTCAGATTTAGCGTGTGTGCAATCATGCTGCAAATTAGTCTAGAACTCGCTTCACATTTTCAGAGTGCATTTATTCTAATACACAAAAATATAGGTTACTCAACTGTTGCACAAAATTGCATTCATAAGTGTACTGTGATTTATTTATTACCCTCACGCTTGTATATTTATATAATTTCAAAATTTTATCCACAGTGAACATATTGTGATGAAACTTTGTTACTTATAATTTTGGTCATGAGCCCAAAAGTAAAATTGTTGGCAGTGTTTGGTATATGCATCTTTACTTTGATTCTATGTTACCAAATTGCTTTTTGACAGAATTGAACCAATTTGTACAGTTCACAGTAATATATGAGAATTCAGATTCTACCATTGTCTTCTAAGATCTTTTAAATCCTAATGCGAGGTATACACGCTGGTATTTTTGCTGAAAGAACTCAGTGCATGTTGTTGAATGACAACACAGAATTTAAGATATCCTAGAGAACAGACAACCAAGGAAAAGCTGAGAGCAGCTTTCCCTGGAAGACGAGTGGGCATTAGTGCGGCTTTGACATGACTTGGAGTAT